TATAATATAATTGAGTTATACCATGTTTATTACCTTTTCCCCTATAATAATACAATAGTATACACAGAATTCCTCTAAAAAGTTATACTAAATATATATAATGAATAATTGAATATATAGTATTAGTTTCATAATGATTAAGTGAATAAATTGAGTGTAACGGTTAAAAAAAAGAAGAAATGTAATGAAATATGAGAATATAACTGAATCCAAATAGGAGAGAGAGTGTGAAAAATAAATATTTCATAATTTATGCGTTTTGGCTGCTCATTAATTATGTGCATAATCTCTACCTGCCATTAGTGTAAAAAAGATTGCCAGAATAAACAAAGAACAATATTATTTTCTTAAATATGTTTTAAAAAGTGATCAGTTGTGTATTTTTTTCCATAAGAATATTCTTGGGTTTCAGGGCCGGCTGGAGGGTCGAGCCAATAAAGCAAAGGCTTTAGGGGCTGTCACGACCCAAAATCTGACCTGTCGTGATGGCGTCTATCTCAATACTAGGTAAGCCGATAACATCAATAACCCCCGATTTTCTTTAAGTTTGAAAACATAATATCTAAATTTAGCGGAAGAAAAACTCACAAATACATATATAACACTCCCCAAAACCTGGTGTCACTGAGTACATAAGCATCTATTACGAATACAAGTCTGGAAAATACGGTCTATAATAGTCTGAGACTAAATACAGTAAACAAGGAGATAGGGAAGGAGATGCAAGGTCTGCGAAATACGGCAGCTACCTCAGAATCTCTAGAAAATCAACTGCGCGAAAGAATCAACACCCACTATGTCCGGGAACACCTGGATCTGCACACGAAGTCCAGGGTGTAGTATGAGTACAAACAACTCAGCAAGTAACAATAATAAATAAGGAACTGAAAATAGTGGCGAGCTATACAATTATAATTCATTTTTAGTAATTCTAGCAAAGAATAGACACGCTTTCAAATCCAGCAGTTTAAGTCAAATCAATTTATACATTTCAAGTTCATGTAATCCGGATATAAAATCTTTCAGAGAATTTTACAATAATGACAGATAGCAACTAAGTGCAACGACAAATGAAAACAAGTACAGCCTCTCAGGCAACAGTCACTCAACTCATTACAACAGCTCAATCACTCGGCTCTCAGCCCTCAGCACTCACACTCAATGGGTACCCGCACTCACTGGGGGTGTACAGACTCCGGAGGGGCTCCTACAGCCCAAGTACTATAATCTGAACGGACAACTCACGTGCCATAATATAAATATCTGGATTCGCATGACGAACTCACGTGCTGCATGACCAACTCACGCGCTATAATATAATATAAGGATCCGCACGGTTAACTCACGTGCTGCACGGCCAACTCACGTGCAATAGTATAATATAAGGATCCGCACAGACAACTCACGTGCAATAGTATAATATAAGTATCCGCACGGCCAACTCACGTGCTGTGGTATAATATCTCACAATCAGGCCCTCGGCCTCACTCAGTCATAAGGCTCTCTAGTCTCTCGGGCTCTCAACAATCATAAAATCAACCCAAACAACAATGATATGATACATCAATAATGAACAATAGAGACTGAGATAAAATAATCAAGTAAGCTGTGATTGAATACAAAACAACAATTTAAGCAGATAATTCAACATGTACACAACCTCTGTGGGTCCCAACAATACCAACATATAGCCTAAACATGATTTCTAGCAAGACTTATAGTCAAGTTTCCACAACACATAGAGAGCACATAACTATCAATAAATTATTCAGCTTTACAGTTTTCACGGAACGGACCAAGTCACAATCCTCTCGGTGCACGCCCACACGCCCTTCACCTAGCATGTGCGTCATCTCCAAAGTAATCACATGATACCAAATTCCGAGGTTTCATACCCTGAGGACCAGATTTAAAACTGTTACTTACCTCAGAGCGTGAAATTCTTTATTCTGCTATGCCGTTACCTCGCAAATCGGCCTCCGAATGCCTAGAATCTAGTCACAAATAATTCGTTTTAGTCAATAAAATTTATTGCAATTAATTCCATATGAAAATATAATTTTTCCATAAAAATCCGAATTTTAACTCCAAAAATCGCCTGTGTGGCCCACGTCTCGGAACTCGACAAAAGTTACAAAATATGAACCTTCATTCCACCACGAGTCTAACCATACCAAAATTACTAAATTCCGATAATAATTCGGCCCTCAAATTCTCAAATTTATCTAAGAGAGTTTTCACAAATTTTCAACTTAATTCACCGATTAAATGTTAAAAACGACCATGGATTCGGGTAATTTAACTAATATTGAGTTAAGAACACTTACCCCATTGTTTTCCTTGAAAAACTACCGAAAATCGCTTCTTCCCGAGCACCAATCCGTCAAAAACTGAAAATGGGACGAAACAACTTAATATCTCTGCCCAGACATTTGCTCTACGCGATCGCGAAGAACAATTTCCCATCGCCCAGATTTAACTCTACGCGATCGCAGACTTTCCCATGCGATCGCGATGCACAACATCACAGACCTACTCGATCGCGGACCTAATCTAACCACGCGATCGCGAAGCACAAACGCGTGGTTTCCATTTCTGCCCCATTTCCTCTAAGCGAACGCGACCTTCTTCACGCGTTCGTGAATAACAAACTCACATAGCTACGCGATCGCATCCTGCTTCACGCGATCACGAAGCACAAAATGCCGCTGCCTCAAATTAACCCTACGCGATCGTAGATATCCCCACGCGATCATGTAGAACAAAACCCCCCACTGACCAACTAAGCCTACGCGATCGCAGACGCATTCACGCGATCGCGTAGAAGGAAAACAACATTAGATATCAGAAAATTCCAGCAGTTGTTCAAGTCCAAATTTTTGATCCGTTAACCATCCAAAACTCACCCGAGCCCCTCGGGACCTCAACCAAATATACCAACAAGTCTTAAAACATCATACGAACTTAGTCGAACCCTCAAATCACCTCAAACAACGCTAAAACCATGAATTACACCCCAATTCAAGCCTAATAAACTTTGAAATTTCTAATTTCTACAAATGACTCCGGAACCGATCAAATCAAGTCTGATTGACCTCAAATTTTGCATACAAGTCATAAATGACATAACATAGGTATTCTAATTTTCAGAATCGGATTCCGACCCCGATATCAAAAAGGCAACCCCCAATCAAATTTTCCAAAAATTAAACTTTCGGCATTTCAAGCCTAATTCCACCACGGACCTCCAAATAATTTTTCGGACACGCTCCTAAGTCCAAAATTACCATACGGAGCTATTGGAATCATCAAAATTCAAATCCGAGGTCGTTTACATATAGGTCCATATTCGGTCAACTTTTCTAACTTAAAATTTTTAATTATGAGACTAAGTGTCTCATTTCATTTCGAATTCCTTCCGGACCCAGACTAACTAACTCGATAAGTCATAAAACAACTATAAAGCATAAATTGAGCAGTAAATAGGAGAACAGAGTTATAATACTCAAAACGATCGATCGGGTCGTTACAGGGCCCCAGCTTTTGAGGCCCCATTTTTAATTAATAATGTAGTTTTTATAGTTAATTTTCTTAACAAAATTTTCTATTGATTATTCTATGGTAAAAAAGTACCGTATAAGATTTTTATTAAAAAATAAAAGAGAACCATTTAGCCATGTGATTGATGGTGTCGGCTGAAATTTTCATTCTAGTATCAATATTCTTTTTCTTTTCCTTTCTCTTAAGTAATAAAACTTGTACCGCGTACTTTCTTTTTTTTCATTCCGTTAAGCTATCTATTCTCTCAAAAATAAGGGCAAGGACATTGAATAAATTAAATTATGCATTTCTTTTGTTTTTCTCAAAGTTTTCAAGTCTTGCACAACATGCGAACTGAAGCAGTGAAATCTTGTAGTAATATCAAGTTATCAACTTCTAAAATTAGGTTATATTGTTCTAACTTTCTATTATCTTATAACTAAATTTTACATCTGGTAAATTTTATTTATAGGTGTATATTACTTTTTATCGAATATTAGAATTCAAACGTGTCAACTAAAAAATATAAATCAGATTATTCAAAACACACATAAACAAAGAGAGGAGAAAAAGTGAACTTTAATACAATCTCAAAAAAGGAGTCGTTTAAACAATGCCTAAAACAAGATTAGATGAATTGGATAAATTGTCAACTGAAAAAAATATATAAAGAGAATTGATTGCAAAAACTTATTAACAACTTTGCATCTTAAAAAACTAGAAAATTTACTTTAAATAAAAATACATATGTGAGTTTTTTTTTTGGGCAAAAAAGCTTAAGGCTTCTTAATAAGTTTTGCTTGAGGCCACCAATTTGGTTGAGCTGTCCTTATTGGGTTTAAATACTATATTGTTAATGCAAATATTCTTTATTTCATATTTCATTTCAAATAAAAGAATGCATAGATTACACTTAAGTTTTGTCCATATTAGTAATGCAGAATTTCAATAAAAAATCAAACTCCATATAGTTATGCAAAGTTTATGCTAGAAAAAAAATCAAACTCCGTATCGCTATCCGACAAACGCAGTCCCCCTTAGAAGCTTTTAAGTTTTTTTTTATTCTTTAAACACAGGTATTTGTGCAAAAAATTTGAAAATTTTGTAGCGCACAACTTAAGAAAGTCGCATGAGAGCAAGAAATTAAGGCCGCATTAATTTATCAGATGTCCCATCTACAAGCTTTGTTTTGTTTGACTAGTGAGATACGTTGCCAAAAGTAGGGACGCATCATTACGTAATGATTAAGATATCTCGAAAGCGACACAAATTCACATGAAATCTGCGACATTTGAGCTTCCACGTACACCTTAAAATCCTTCTCTTGCCACTGTATTTTGCATAAATAATTTTGCTTTCTATCTAATTTGGGTGATCTTTTTTCTCTAACTTTGAGTACTTCAATTGACACAGTTTCTCTGGTAAAACTTTGAATCTATATTCTCACTGAATACTTCTCATTTTCTCAGCTTCTTGTTGGACTTTTCGAGTTATTTATTTGGATTTTACCTTAAGAATATAAAATATTGTTGTCTTTAGATCTATCCTTTCTTTTGATTTCTGAAAAAAAAAATCAATTTTCTACTCCAGTTTTAGATTTTTACTATTTTGGGTTTATGGGTCTTATTTCCTCTGTCATCAGCAAGACTTTGATGATTTGTTAACTTCTTTGCTGTAATTGGTTTAATTACTGCTATTATGTGCCAAATGTAGTTAACGAAGTCTGATTTTTTCCTTTTGGATTGATTGTATCCACTTGCAATGGTTTCTGTTCTTCAAATGGGCATCACGGTAGCTCTGATGAGGAATGTAGTTTGTTGGAATGTAGATGTAAAACTTGATTTTTCTCTCTTTGCTAAGTTCTTTTTTCTTCTTATTTGCTGATTGGGATAACCTTTTGGGTGGGAGATGGTACCGTACAGTCAGGGGCGGATTTAGCATAGTACTTCCATTTCAATTTAGACAAGCACTTGGCACAAAGTTAAAAAAGAAAAAACTTTTAAAATATATGGCGCTAAAAACTTAGTAAGGCTATGATATTTGTGTATTTATAAAAGTTTCTTATTAAGCGTAAAGTATGTAAAATAAAAAATTTAAAGTTAAATTGTTTCTCAATATAAAAATGTCTAACAAGGATAATGTGTCATTTAAATTGAAATGGAGGAGTACATGTTGTGGCTTCTTCTGATCTTGTAGTTTTGGCACAAGCCCGATTGTTGAAAATCCACTAAATAAGTACAAATAATCAATTTTCGAACCCAATAAATCCAATCTGCTGTGGTAGAATTTCAAAGTGGAACCCATAAAGTTGGATTTCTGGATCCACTTCTGTGTACAGTAATGGAAGTATAGATATGTGCAGATGAAGAACATGACAGTTGAATACGAATGAAAGGAGTGCTTTGGTATTTGTTTTTCCAGCGTCATACTGCATTGTCGAAAAAATTGCTCTCTGGATATTCTCCAGCAGAACTCTACCTGTGAATTACCATTGCTCTGCTGGTTAACTTTAGCTTTGTTGTTGCTCAGATTATAGAGAAACATAAAATTTGGAGAATATTTTCAGCCCTTTAGAAATCGGAGACATAATTTCAATTAATATCATGCTGGTGCTGCCTCTTCCATCCTTTTAAACCTCTCATTCTTCCGGACCCAGATGATTAGTTCATTCTTTTCATTGTTTATTTTCCCTGTTTAAGAAGCTTTCCAGGTGATGAAGGTTGGAACAGACCAGATAATGTATCTTTGAGAGTTAGGTTTTGATTTGGTTTGGTGTTATACTTATCTACTTTCCTTTTGTGACTATGGGTGTAATTTGGTACTTGTTTTCCATTTTTAACCCTTGGACATGCATCTGGGCTGTAGATGTTTGTAAAGATAACGCTCAGTTTCAGTCTAGGAGATTACTACCTCTGGATAATGGAGTACAAGTTTCTGCCCAGCTGTGTGCTACTCCGCAAAGAATCCGTTTTGGATATCTTTTAGTGTTGATCTTACCAAATTTCAAGAAGCCCCGCTCATATTTAGTAGATTTGTAGGGTATGCAGTGAAGTTCATTTACTTTATTGTTTTTGAGTAATTATTATGCTACTTGAATTTTTGTCTTCTATCTATCTGCCAATAATGAGCTCTCATTATAGATAATAAACGTTCCTCTGTGTTTGGATTTGATCTAGATGAAGTTATTGGCATTTGTCTGGAGGAAGCCATATTCTCAGATTCTTCTTTAGCTCTTTGGCAGTTTGGCCTGCCGTTTGTGATATCTTATGAATCTAGACTGGTTATCATGAATTTGAGGAAATTAGCGAAACTCGTGCCAAACAATGATTTTAGTAATCTAGGCAAAACTTATTTGCTCATGAACTGATTGCTACTGCTTCGCAGGGTTGAATTAAATATCTGATAGACGATCCCAGAAAATTTTGAAAGAAGAATGGTTCAGACAGTGGAAGTCATCAAGGGTGGTGGAGGTTCTATTAAAGTTGGAACAACTGGTACAATCGGTGCCTTGATGTCAAGAGAATTAGATTCTAAGAAGTTTTCTCCTCAGACACCGGCTTCATATAGAAGTAAGTCTCCTACTGTTTGTTCTTTCATTGCTGGCAGTGCGACCAGTGCTAAAAGAGTGAAGCCAGGAACATCGAGTGACGAAGCAAGCAGCAGTGGGATGTCTGAGGACAATAAGAAATGCCCTGAAATTGTCAGGAAAACAAAGCACTATAATCGAAAAACTAATCAAATTCCAATACTAGAAAACGACAATGTCTTTGTTGATGGAACTCCTGTGAGGCAGAAACCTCAGAGAAAGGGACCTTACATGGTGGAGATTGTGGATATAAATTGTGGGGATGTTGACAGAACTTGGGCAGGCCCTATAAAGAATCGCCTGAAGAAGCTTGGTTTCTCAAAGCTGTCTGAGAGCCCTGTCTAAGTGCCTAATCCTTGAATATCACATTTAGATTCCTGTAAGTGAATGTGGACATTGCAATTGGTTTATTACATTCTGCGACTTATACCATAGAGCACCTGCTGGGATCAGCTTATGCTCCCTCTTCTCCTTTTTGGGGTTTTTGGCCGATGATCCAAGCTTTGGTTTGGTGTAAACTGCTAGTAGAACCCATATATCTGCAAGTTGGCGAGACTTGTGAGAGCTGTCGTGACAAGTTGTAGCCTATAGAAATATTCTCTTTCTTGCAAGAAGAGGAATCAGAAAGTGCATGGGCTGCCTATCTCAACTAAAGAATTTTTCGTCGCCATCTGAGGAGCAACCATGAAGCCTAAGCCATTAACTATATACCTGGATCTATCTTTGCCTAGTAAGAGGGCAAGCAGTGGCAGAGCCACCTTCATCCAAGGGGTGTTATTTGACACCCCTTCGCCGAAAAATGACACTGTGTAGTTAGGTAAAAAAAATTCCAATGTATATGTATTACATGTTGTGAATTCCTTTGTGTGTTTTTTTCTTTATATATTGACTCCCCTTAGTGAAGTTCTGGCTCCGCCACTTAGGGCAAGGGACCTATTAAGGTTGAAGAGAAGTGGCCTAGAGCTGTGGCTGTGACTTGATTCTTGGTTAGGCCTAATTCCTTGTGTATTCATTCGGCTACTCTCTCATAGGAGTAATCTTTATCTAATGAAGTGGTTACTGTGGGCTTGGTGGAAGATACTGTGGCGCTGTGGTGGCCCTATTCATGTATTTGCAGTTTAAAACTTCTATGGTTGCTAAAATCAGTGCTATCTTTTTAAATTATCTGCCTAGATTCTGTGGTGATTTTTCTTCTTAAAAAGGCAACTTTTGTCCCGGCCTTTTAATCAGAAAAGTTGTATTTTGCTGTTGGGACTAATAACATAGCACCCCTAGTTATAAGAATAGATCCAAGAATCAGTACCAGCAAATGAACATTGTGTTTTCAGTGGCAGTAAGCTGATAGATTTATGAGACTGTTAAATGTCCTGAGAGCGATGATAACAATTTGGTTATTGAATGGAAAATAAAATGAAGACTAGAGTACCAATTGATGCAGCAGTTTTTCTTATGTATGAAGTTTTTCTCATATCAGCCATCAAACAGTTAATCTCCCCCTCCCTTTCTTTTCTTACTAGGAGTAATGTTTTTATATCAAGTAATTGATCTCTTTTTTCTGAAAAAAGAAATATGTACTCATGTCATGTCTCGAACTCAGATCATGACGGACTGATTATCCCCCAATGCGTTAATTGCTGGAGCATCCAGAGGCCTTCAACCCTGCTCGGCTTTTTATGTTCTTAAACTTGTTAGGGTTCACTCACATCGCATAGGAAGGCTTCATTTACCTTATCTAGTCCCTCTTTAACTAGAACTAGAAAGAAATTAACGAACAAAATGGTAAATGAGTCTTGAATGATTATGCCTTGTCATTATTGCTGAATGAATGACTACTGAAATCAGCATCCACCACAATTTTCTACAACTGCCTAAGAAAGAGTTAACCAAGGTTATATCAAATATTACCATCTCTACTCTGAAATGAAAATGGCTCACCATTAACAACACGGAATTTCAATTAAACGCTGTTAATTAATTGTGTATTTCTGTCTATCGGGTATTACTACTGAACAGGGTAAAAGTATGAAAAAAAAGAGGGTGGAGGAATGGGAAGCTTGCTCTCTTATCACAATTATCAGAGCCAGGTTTCAATCCTGGGACCTGTGGGTTATGAGCCCACCACGCTTCCGCTGCGCCACTCTGATTTGTTATTCTTGTTTTACAATGTTTTATTACTTAGTAAACTCCCGGTATTTCTTCCTCGTGTGCCTAAAATTAATATCGAATACTCAAATCATTTGCTTAATGTGTCATATTTATTTCGTCCAATTAAGCCTTTGCCACTATCTTAACAACGTGGAGAAATATTATCTTTTATCGTTATTAATGATGAAACATAAAATAATTAGCGTAATTTTGTAATGAAGGATAAAATTCTATTAAGTTTTAAAATCACATCAGCTTGTTTAAGATGAAGAAAGTTGTAAATAAAATGGTTTTTAACTGCAATATTGAAAACTATTAGAAAAACTGACTCCATCCTTTTCTTTCAAGTATGATACACAATTATAGTTGAATGTTGACAATTAGCTTAAACACCAAGTTCCATTTTGGCCTGGGCCATAAAACTCTTGCTTAGGCCTAACATAAAACACTAATTTGAATGTGACAAATACTATTGCACCAAACCGCTGCAAATTTTCTATGGTGACCATGAAACACTAGTTGAAAGAGGGTGCGAATAATTACCTACCCAACAGCCAACAGGGATGGAACCAATGACATAGAGTGATGCGTCAACATGGAACTCCTTATTCCAATCCAAAAACTGAAGAAATGGGGCTAACAACAAACACTCATCTCTATGCTTAGAGGTTTAATCGCGTTCTAGTTCCCAACCGCTACACTCTTCTCCTGCAATGGTTCCACTCTGAGATACCGCGCCCACAAAAATCTTTTTTATGCACAGACGCACACACACATAAAATATACATAATGTAAATAGTGTATAATTATGGAGAATATTTCATTCAAAATCAAACTTTATTTCAATGTGCATTATCAAGTGTTAGAACCCACAAGCCATAAGATAGCTGACCTGAGGCTTCAGGGACCAAATTGTTGAAGGGAAGTAGGGGCGGGGAAGGGTTGGTCTGTAAAAATATGAACTATGCAAGGATACAAAGTATATGTCATAAAACTCGAAAGGTTTCACTACTTGAAATAAAGCTCAACAAGCTTCTTGAGAGTTTCAAACACACTTGTGAATGGGTTGAATTCAACAGCGGCCTTCAACTCTAGATCAGGGAATTGGTTGCTTAGAGCTTGTTGCATTCCTGGCATGGACATCATTGCTGCTAGCTGACTCGTAGACTTCACCTCACAGTCTTGTGGTGTGTCTTTGATTTTGCTCGGATCATATCCGAAACTACCTAAGTAGTTTTTGTATTTCTCTATAAATTTTGGTCCTGGATCAGGTGTCCTCGAGTATATCTGATCAAGGAAAGAAATACGGATCAATCGATTAATCAATCAGCACTACATCAGATAGTCCTGTGATAAATTCAAGCAATTTTGAGAGTTGAAAACTGCAAATTCAGGCTTTAGTAATATTTGAATCAGACCAAACAAAGCAACAGTATCCTTTTTTTTAAAAACATAACTGTGGTGTTCGGGCAGCTTACCCCCACCTCGACTAATTCCACCGGATACCTACCACCTCCCACCAGCAATAGGTACCAGGTAACTGTATCCACCAAGGCTTGGGTAGATGAGAAAAGAAATCATCTAGTGTTTTTGTTACCTCCACTGGGATTTGAACCTGAAACCTCATGGTTCTCGCCCACTTCATTGATCACTAGGTTGTAACACCCTTGGGCGCAACAGTATCACGGTTCATTAAAGAGGGCAGGTGGGATGAGGAGATTCTACAACAGAATGTATCAACTAATTTGCTGTCAAAGGTACTTGAAGTGCATAGCCATGATGTTAATGCCCCTTATAAACCAATATGGACAGCTACTCAGGAGGGTAATTTTATCTGCTCTTCTGCTCGGAAGATGATAAGGAAATTCAGAATCCCTTCTTACACAAACAAGATGATTGGCACAGAAGAATCCCCTTCAAAATGGCCATTTCTTTTGTGGAGAGCTATGAGAGAGAAGCTACCTACTGATGATAAGCTGACAAATGCGGATACAATTTTTCTTCAAAATGCTACTGCAGTACTACTATATCTGAGGAATCATTAGAACATAGTCTTCTGAAAGCATTCAGCAAAGAAAACAGGCCACTAAAGTCCTATGGGAGAGAGCTGAATACTGATGGCAGTATCCTTGGAAATCTGGGATGGAGTGGTGCTGCAGGTACTGTGAGAAATTATAGAGGAGAGATGATAGCAATTGAGCTTGGCAATTTGGCTAATAATTGATGAGACTATATTTTAGTGTTATAGATGCCCGAATATGATTATTTCCCACTATTTTCATGCATTTTGTGCGTTAATTGTATATATCTTTCACCTATTTACTCTTGATTCGTGCAGTAATAACGAAATATTTCATCAGGAGACAAATATGGTTTAACAGTTGATATAGATGGGAAGACGGTCAAAGGGGAGAGTATAGAATGCGGAAACACTCGTGCCCCGATGCTGGTAACATGGTTAAAGAGCAATATTGTGACAAATTCCAGAGGGCCGGCACGCCAGACACCTCAGCGCTCTCCTGGCCAATCCAGTATCCAACCAGCCATTGGCAACCGAGCGCTCTCCTAGGTGCCCCAATCCCAATAAAGCATTATCCAAGCAAGACTCGGGGCAGAATTCCCCCCTTTCCTTCTCAATCCTTACTTAAATAGGCCCTATAAAGATAGGTTGCCCAGACTCTCCGAAATATTGTCGCACCTGTGTCGGATCCACCAAAATTGTACTACTTTTGGAGGATCCGACACACACCCGGCGATATTTTCGGAGAGTCCGAGCAACATAGTTATAAAGACCATTACGCGAGGGAAAGCAGGTCAAAAGGCTACCTTTGAAGCATGACATTTTGGAGAAGAACAATAGAAGAGGGTCAAAGATAAGAGAAGAAGAGAGATTTACCGCTCCAATCAAGTTTCTATAATCCTTTCTCTTTGCTTTCATGTTGAACTCTACTGTTTATTTTCTCTTAATGTGTCTTATAATGTATATCAGATTTATTTGACTAGAATGAGTTGAAATCAATGTCTAATTTTAATATACTCTAATGGATGGGTTTAGTTCTTGTGTGGTGATTGTGTTTATTGATTTTAATTAAATCTTTTAGTTGTGATTGAAGAATGGTGTTCTGGTCAACCCCTTTTATCCACATGTAGGAGATTATCTTAGATTGGATTAATAAATATAGATTTTGAATGTTTATCGATAATAATAAAATTGTATCCCTCTATAGCACTCATCTAGTGTGATACCTGGACAGTGTACACGTTTTACATAAGCTGTAGTCTATGCTAATGCTATCTAAAATATGTTCCCATACTAAGTCTGGACGCGAAGAAAGTAGACACAAAATCAGAAGGTCCCAGGAGAATATGGCTGTATTCATTTTTTCATACAAAAGAAAAAGGTTTCCCTAATTTGCTCCCTGATTGGTGTTATAGTGTTGCTAGGGATATTTTATTGATTGGCAGGTATTAATCAGTGATAAACATTTGACATGCAAGAACAATCCACAGAAAACTACTACTGTTTATTTTTCACCTAAAATGATTAAAAAGAATAAGGGAACTCCTAAAATATGTTTAGGTTTAATTATTTATCAATAGCATAACCCCACGGTCAGGTGACCCAGTTCTTTAGTAAATAATTCGTAATAATGAAGAAAAAGGGTCAAGTGTGAGGTACACTGTGTTGAACATGAAAAATGCAGAAACTATGAGAAGCTCATTTCAGGGATGTATTCTCACATATTGAAGAGAAATAAAATATCATTTGACTCACGGCAGCGATCAAACAGAAACAGTTGATTACCTGAATGAAGCTTCTGTCTTTAGCTCCAGAAACCAGTGCAAAATTGTCATAATCAGTTGCAATAACATCATAAGGCTCCTTTGGGATGAACGGCAATGTAGGAAACCTAAGGTAACACTTCTCCCTAATCATTTCTTGCCTTTCAAGATCAGTCTCATTTTTCTCCCTATCCTCCTCGGTAAGGCACTGAACCCTTCCCCTTATGCCTGTGATGTAGCCGTCAGGTCCTCCATGAACACAAAATGTGTCTACTTGGATAGCAGGTGCGGCCATATCAACAGTGTAAATGCCCTGAAATAATTTGGAACAAAGACAAACCATTCCAAAATAAGACATCATCAAGTATGAGCGTCCAAGAACCAAGGAACCCAAAATATATGCAAAGACATAATAAGAAGAAGGCATATTTTCAGGTGTTAACACTCTCAACGTTCACCTGGGTGCAGTGACAATCTTCTTGACCTTGTCCAGCGAATCCACGTTTAAGGGAAGCTACTTCGAACCATCTTCCAGAATACCTGATTGGATCAAAGTCTTTTGCTGTCATGCCTCGCATCATCATCAACTTTCCACCTCCGCCATCATTTCCCTTCTCCAGAGGAAGAATCGGTGCGCTGTCTGTGGCATTTGCAATTTGGGACACACTGTTGTAATGAGGAAGATCTGCTGCAAAAGCCTACCAAGAGAATGAAGATACGATTGAAAATTTACCACCATTTCTGGAATTTTGGCTCTTTGGGTTAATTTATGATATAACACATTATGAGTTGAAAAATCATGCTTGCCATAAAAATATATTTGTTTGATAACATAGAGTAAAATATGATTTTTGACCTTCAACTGTCAGAACAGTCTTATCAAATCAACCAAATGCTTATGTGCCACTAAATGCACCAGAGATATACGATTTTTCTCATGCAATATCTTTATCTTTTGGAACCAGGAGTAAGCAAATAAAGTAAAGATTCTAACCAGGTTACTTTGAGAGAGAAATAGGATCGATGCTGCAAGACCTGAAAAGACTTGTTTAACCGCAACCTTACTAGATATAGGACATTCATTACAGCAGCCGGACATCATTTTCATAGGCACCTCCCTACAAGGAAGGAAGAACAATCCCCATAACATGAAGAATGGGAACGTGATTAGAAGAAAAGTGAACCTTCGAGAAAACATCAGTCACATAAATCTAAAACAAAAGCTAAGATGATTGCATGGCCAGTTTTAGGTTATTGATTCCTGCACAAAATTTAGAATGCAAGCAAAAGCTTCTATAAGACAACTTCAACACACCACAAGGAAATACCCTCGTAGACATACTTCCGATTCAGAGGTGCAAAAACTTTTCTTTACTGCAAAGCTATTTCTCTCCATTGTATGTATGACGTGCACCTTATCCTCAATCGAGACAAGCATTGAGAAGCCTGTAAAATCCATCTTCTTTAACCCTGAGCACCATCAAGATAGACTATTTATATCTTATGCTTTTGTATGTAATCTAATGCCCATTATCGTGTCATCCCAATTCTTTTATCCGATCAGATCATGTCCTCGACTAAATTGACAAAATGTATTACCATACTAATTTCAGAAAACTCCTCATCATACCTAAAAAAGAAATGAAGCTCCTAACCATTGATTTAAAGTGGTAGGTTTAACAAGACTTAGGCTGCTGGCTAAATTTAATATGAATTTCCCCCTTGTACTAAAATCAGTGAGTAAGCAATTGACTCATTTCTCCACAATATGGTATTTGGAAACGCAAAATGTTTATACTTCACAAACTAATAACGAAGGTCAAACAGATTCACCAAAATTCAACATTCTTCAAGAATTTCGTTGGACTTGACTGCTTTCTCTTACAATTCTCTTTACGCATTTTCTTAACCACTACAGTAGTACATATTGGGTCTGGGTTTAGTACCAAATCTTTTGCATTATTAACCACACAATTGTGAACAACCATAAAGAAAAAGAAAAAAGGGGTACACTGTACTATTTTAATAGATCACAGAATTAATGATTAGACATAATGCAGAATAGAAATCTTGAATTTGGGAATGAAAAATAGTATCAAGAAAAGAGAAAGAGAGCTACTGGACAGCAAACAAGAGGTCAGGAGAGTAGAGATTGTACCTGGGTTTGGAGGGATACTGTGATTGAAGCATAATAGGAGGTGATTGTTGGACAATCAAATTGTAGCACACCATTGTGTTAACTGATACAGCAACTTCAGTTCAGTTGTAAGCCAGTTATTTATATATGTAAGGTTACTATCACATTTGACAGTTGTGTGTTACTGATATGTATAAGTTTTAGTACCCTATTGTTTATCCCAAAATTGGGTAATAATTTAATTTGTAAGCGATTTAAAGGATACGTAGTTTAATTCAACATAAATAATTAAGAATAACATATAAATGAATTAAAGATAAAATAAACGATCTTTGATGTTATGAACAAGTCTGATCTTAAATTGAACAGTGATCCCGTCCTCGATTGGACCATCGGTTCGAGCCCAATAGTGAATGACAAGTAAACAAAGTTCTCAACAGTAGCTAGAAGGAAAAACTAAACTTTTATTGCCTTGAATTACGTGTTACAATGTGTCAGATCAAAGAAAAACTTTCCCTTTATATAGTAGGAGAGTTTCAGTCCTACTAAAAGTCTAAAACAAATAAAAATCTTCTTTTCCCGATAATTGTTGATCCATAATTGACATCGAGCGGGATTCGCGCCGTGATATCCGATTGAGGGCGGGTATCAGGGCGTTTTGTCCGTCATGCATAACCGTTCAGCGTGTCTCCCGAGGTCTAGAACTTACACTCGGCCAGGGCGGTGTCGGATATACCGTTCACTCTTCTTTGGTCTTGATATGAAGGGTCTTTGACCTCGACTGCAAAAACCGAGCCAGTGCTCCCCCTTCGTTCTCTCATCGGGGAATCGGGGTAGACATTGCCCTCGATTTTACCCGTATACAGATAGTCCCCTCGTTTTCCGGAGAGTAGATTTATCTAAACGACGGGAAGCGATAAATAATCCCTGGTTCCTTCCCTCGTACGTCACGATGGGGTTGTTGGGTCAACGAAACGTCCCATCAGTCGCGTCGCTCTGACTTCGGACATGTGTCAGTCGCCGGTTGACTGTCCTCGAATGCGAAACATCGCGCATTGACTGTTCTCCCTCTATAAAAGCTACGCCCCCCCTTTCTACTTCCCCGCTTCTCGATTCCAGAACTCTTGAATTTACCCTCGAATTTTCTACTTACCTTTGACTTTTGCAAATCTTCACACATTTCTCCTTAGATCTTCATATCTTCATCCCATCTTCAAATCTTTATAGATTTTCTTTGAATCTTCAACCTAGACCTTCATATCTTCATCCCATCTTCAAACCTTTATAGATTTTCTTCAAGTCTTCATATTCCCATAACTCAATGGCAAAAACTTCCAAATCCATGTCTCAGAAAGTCGTCCCTTCATCTTCTAATCTGGCCACAGATGCCGAGGTAGCCATTCCCGAGGTGGCACGGGAGCCTCCCTTGAAGAGCTTCGTACCCGGTGGCTGCTTCATCGGGAGCGACATCAACATCGAGAATGCCTCTAGTCAACAGGACCGGGGGCAAGGGAGCATGGAGGTACATATGCTCCGTTACTGAGGAAATATTACCCACAGTCTGGGTAGACTATAACTAGGAGGGCAAGGAGGTCATCGTTCCCGGGCCCAACAAAGACATCACCACTCATGTGGAGGGGTACTAGTGTTTACACTTACCCCTTCACGCTCGCCCCGATGGACCCTATAGTCCTCGACTTCTGTAAAAGGTTCGAGGTTTGCCTTGGGCAGATTCACCCGTCATTTTGGAGGATTGTAATTCTCCTCCAACACTTTGTAAACAACAACGAAGCACCTCGGTTCACCCTCGACCATCTGCTTTGTCTATACAGTCCTGAAATCTTCCAAGTGGGGTTGTTCAAGCTCGTTCGCCAAGCAAGCAAGGCTCCGTTATCGAGCATCGATGAGGACCGAGATCAAGGCTGGCAGGGGAGGTTCGTTCGGGTAAAGAACGAAGACCTCATCTCTTCCAAATTTCTACCGTTACCCGAAAAGTGGAACACATCCCGTAAGTGTTTTCCTTTTTGGGTATTTGGCGTTCCCTTATATTCTCTTTCTAATTGCATGTGTTTGTTGTTGTGCAGTGGTTTCCTAGGTTCCTAATGCAATCTCTCATTTCAAGGAGTGGATCGAAGGGATTTTCAAATAGATGCCCTACTCCGAGCGCACATGGCCCAAGCTCTCGAAGGGCAAGTGGTAGGCCCGTTCCCATTGTGAGGTTCCTTCTGAATGATTACATCCATACATCTGACTTATATTTTGCTAAGTCTTCTTCTTTCTTACAGGTTTTCCCAAGACCACCGAGCTCAGGCCGTTGAATGAAGACGAGGATCCGTCAGCACTTGCCGATCCCTCCACTTCGGGGAAGCTCGGGGCTACCGCAAAGGAGGAGAAAAAGAAGAAAGAGAAGTCCTCGGGTTCCCCGGATGCCGAGGTAAGGAATAAAAGGGTGGCCATACAGATCTAAAAAAATAAAAGGAGCACCAAATCCAGGGTATCAGATTCTGATTCCCTTTTCGATTACCCCGAGGATGACGACCTAGAGTTTATGGCCCATGAGTCGAACCTCAACGAGGAGGAGCAGGCGAAAACCGAGAGAAGCGACCACGAGATCGATCCCCCTCTAGATCAGGGACCAGAGGGAGAGACGGAGGTTGCAGTCTCCCAAAAAGCCGCTTCCACCCTGAAGAAGGTAGTCGGTGTTATCAACATCGTAGATACGCTGTCCTATACCGAGTCCATGCTCGAAGAGGCCCAAGCGGGCAAAGAGAAGTCAAAAGAGACATCACCAGGCCCAGATGATCCCTCAACACATTCTTCGATGGCATGGACATGGTCGCATTGGAGGACTTTTCCGGGCTTGATCACCTAGAGGTCCCAAAAACGGATGTGCTATCGGGGGCGGGCGAGCCGAGATCGAGCCCAAAATTAGTGAAGCAATTCCCTGCCCCAAGTATGGACTCCGACCGTAAGAGAACGGTCGTTCTTACTATCCCGATGGACGCCCGAGCACTGTCCGCTCCGGTGGGCGTGGCCAGCTACCTGCATTGCCTGGTGACCAAGGAGGACCAGGCAAAAATGAATGATGTAGGCATGTAGAGCTTCTTCAATGAGGCGCAACAGGCACTGAACCGGGTAAGAGGTTTATCCTTTATATCTTTTACGGATTTTGCTCAGCATATTCTAGTTTCTATGTTATTTTTTCAGGCTTCGGTGCTTCATCATAAAAGCTTCCTTTAGTCTCATTTGGAGATTAGTCAGCTCGAGTTCGAGCTGAAAGAGTAGATCCGGAAGAAGGGCATGTATAGGGCTATTAATGAGCAACAAGATGAGGCTCTTAAGGATCTCCTAACTCTCCGGCCGAGATGGAAAAGGCTCTGAAAGAGGCCTCATCTGTGAAGCGGGAGTACGCCGATCTAGTCGAGAAGGTAAGAATCTTTGAGGCTAAAAACGAGTAGCTACTCATGATGAATAACAATGCAACCTCGCAGGTCCAAGAAAAGGTAGATTTAATCGACCAACTTCGGGCTGAGATGAACGAGGTCAAGGCCGCGACCGAGGTGTGGAAGGGCATGATGGATCTGCTGGCTTCGGAGAAAGAGGCCACAAAAGAGGAGCTGGCATTGATCAAGGACCAACTTTGGGTGGTAAAGTACAAGGCCACAAATGGTGTCGGCTAAATGATGAGCTCCGGGCACAACTGAACTCAGCCATTACGGAACGGGATAGCCTCGGCTAAGAGTATGCCGCGCTGAGGTCCAAGTTGGAGGCAACTTCTATTGATTCTTCCAATGTTGAGGAAATATTGGCTTAGTATAAAGCTGATGTGGAGATAGTCGAGGACCGCTTAAAGATGAAGACCGAGTACGTAAAGCGGCTATCCCGGAGAGAGACCCTCGAGGAGATCCATGCCCGAGGTTTTGACCTGTCAGCCAAGATTGAAGAAGCCAAATGACTTGAGGCCGAGGTGAAGGAACTCTATGAGCCTGAGGGCCCTGAAGGCTCCAAGGATTCCGATGGTTCCAACGGTTCTAGTGACGAGTCGAGCCTCGGTGAAGAGAAGGCATAAATGCCTTGTTCTTTTTTAGTTATCCCTTGTATATTTTATTTTTTGTTTATTTTGAGGTCGTTTTATTGTGCCTTTGTGAATATTTTTTGGAATATATATAATTTTCCCTTTTTTATCAATATCGTATCTTTATTTTCCAACCTCTATTTGCGATTTTTTGTTTGCATATTGTTTTAAGTGCCTTAGCATAAAATCAAATATAATCTAGAGTATCCGTCATTCTGAGATCCAAATGGAACCTGATTTTGATGGAAACTCTGGGTTACTCGCGGATTCGAGATTTCGATAGAATTGAAGTCTTTTAAGATGTTTAAGTGTCTTAGACGTCGAGGACAACCTTTTAATAAGTTTTGATTTTTTGTAAGGGCCTTACTTTCTGAGTACGAACTTTGGACGTCCGAGCCATTTTTAGGGCGGTCGTAGCCTTTCGTATTCGGGCATTGCCTAATAGGCTTGGTGCCTCCGGGATTCGGTAGCTCGGGTCGTCCAAAATTTTATCAGTTGACAATCCCCAAGTAGGGGTAGCCCGTGGGCTTTAGGATCCAGGATCGGAGAAGTGAACTTCGCAGTAATAAAGTAAAAGGGAAGAAAAAGATTTCTTTCATTGTTTAATATGTAAGGTACATGATCGGGGGCACATAAGCCTTGTGCTATGGCTAGAGTTCATATGGGCACGGTTCTTATGACCGTTTGACCCTTACAATGAATCCTAACCACCAAGCCTTAGTTTTTGACACATAAAATTTTCTTTCCCTTTGCTAAAGATTTCGATCTAGGGGTAACGACCCCTAGTAGTCGAGGCAGAACTTGTGAGGGTTCGGATACTTTTGATTTGGTGCAAACGATCATTAATTCCGGTTCAGGGCCGGCCTTCAAAACCTAGGTAGCACGTTTTACAGTTTCCTTGTTAAAAACCTTGACGAAAACCCCGCTTCAAGATAAAACCGGATCAAGTGAAAAAGAGTGCAACACGTGCTTTAAGGCCTAATAGCCACAACCGCTCTTTTTCGAGTACCTGCATACGTTAGCGCGTAATGT